TCATTTCACTGTTTATAGTGATAACAACCCGTTAAGCTACATCTTAACTACCCCTCGTTTAGATGTCACCAGGCTTCGTTGGGTCGGCGAACTATCAGACTTCACGTTCACTGTCAAATACAAGCCTGGTTTATTGAACCGAGACGCTGATGGGTTGAGTAGAATGCCTCTTGATTTTAATCAAGTGATGATGCAATGCACTGAAGAGAGTGACCCCACCGAAGTGCAGGCCGTGGCTAAAATGGTGACCGTTCGTAGCCAAGAGGATTCTCCATTCATTCCTACAGCAGTAAATGTGAACATGGTATGCAACGATAGAGACTGGCTACCAGAGTATCTGCACCATCAGTCCACAGGCGAAGTCCAGAGGATATCCAAAACATCTTTGAGAATTGCTCAGGAGCAAGATAGCTGTATAGGTCCGGTGAAAAGACAGGTAGAATTAGGTGAAAAACCCAATCGCAAGTCCACTAAACATTTACCTTCGGAATCCAAGACCTTACTCCGAGGATGGGAAAAATTGACAGTTGGCGAAGATGGCATTTTAAGACGAGTGACTCGGTGTACATCAGGAATAAGGCGACACCAGGTGGTACTTCCGAAGGAATTCCATCAAATTGTCCTTGAAGAGTTGCACGTAAAACATGGCCACTTAGGAACAGACAAAGTCTTGTCTCTTGCCCAGGACCGCTTTTACTGGCCCCACATGGCAGGATATATCGACCACTTCGTGAAACACCAGTGTAAATGTTTGAAGGACAAAGCACCAAGCCGAAAACCTGTGGCACCACTACAACCCATTGAAACAACATATCCATTTGAAATGATATCCATTGACTTTCTTCATCTAGAAACTTGCAAAGGGGGATACCAGTACATCCTGGTTGTGGTGGACCATTTTACCCGATTCGCAGCCGCTTATGCCACCACAAACAAGTCGGGGCGAACTGCTGCAGATAAAATCTTCAACGACTATGTTCTCCGGTTTGGTTTTCCCGACAGAATCCACCACGATCAAGGTCGCGAGTTTGAAAATGAGTTTTTCCAGCGTTTACAACACCTAACCAATGTGAAGTCCTCGAGGACTACACCATACCATCCTCAAGGGAATGGACAGTGTGAGAGGATGAACCGCACGTTATTGGGTATGTTGAGGACCATGAGTCAGCAGCACAAGAGTGATTGGAAGAATCATCTGAACAAGATGACTCATGCCTATAATTGCACCAAGAATGACAGCACGGGGTACTCACCATTCTTCCTTGTGTTTGGTAGACGACCACGGTTGCCCATCGATCTCATTTTCGGACTAGAGGGAGAACCTCACTACACATCCAAGAGTGAGTACGTGAAGAAATGGGCAGCGCGCATGGAAGAAGCGTACCGGATCGCTGGACAAAGAGCCAAGAAACAGGGGGAAGTTGCACGGAAATATTATAATCAAAAGCCAGCAAGTGCCGCATTGTTACCGGGTGACCGCGTTCTGGTGAGGAACCTTACTGAACGTGGAGGGCCAGGGAAGTTACGATCTTACTGGGAAGAAGAGGTGCACGTTGTCGCCAGACGGATTAATGACTCGCCGGTGTACGAAGTACGTTCAGAACGAGGAAACGGGAAGATCCGGCGACTGCATCGGAATTTGTTACTGCAATGTAATGAACTTCCGCTTTCCTGCCCAGATGCGAAACGCCCCCGACTCAAAAGGATGACGCCACGGAAGCAACGACCACAACTATCTCCTTCTTTACACTCAGACGACTCCGACTCAGATGACTTTACTCTGGTTAAGAGGACACAGCCCAGTATCACTGCTGCACCGGCAAGTACACTGAATCCAATGGCTGAGCCTTTCGTGCCAGTTCCGGAACCTGAACATTCTGGAAACTTTCTAGAAACGGAAGAGTCGGGACCGGACGTAAATGAACAATCGGAAGAAGAAGAACAGACACCGGAGACTAGTGGTGAGATTAGCAGACGCCCTAAACGAGTAGTGAAACCACCGGAAAGACTCACATACGACAAAATGGGAGGTCCAAACCACTACGCAGGAATGAGGCAAATTCTAGCGACGGGAATTAGGCTCTGGCGTCCTTGGGCATAGGAGGACGTGGACATTCTCGTACTAACGTTGATGGACAGCATTAGAAAAAAAAACTATCTTGGGAACATTACCTCTGCTCGCTAGGAGTGTGACAGTATCTAGGCAGATAACGGGAGCACCAGTAGGTGCGTTATTAGAAATCTGATCAATTTCTAATCCTTTCATAGGCATTTTATGCAATAACTCTGCCAATGATGGTACGTTCTATAAAAGGAAGTTCCTGGACAGTGTGTATATTGTAGTTGACTTTATTTAGCTAGGGTAGGTTTGTAATTTAGTAAATGTATAATTAATTGTTAGAAATGTTGGGGCAACATTTTGTTTTCGGGGGGAGAATGTAAGTATTGCGATAGATGTGCGGACCAGCACAATGGAAGTCTAGGGAGCGGCCGATGCCCTTTTGTTCGCTAACCTGGGGCTTGGTGCGTTTACTGACGTCAAGGGTGGCCAGATCCCCTTGATGAGCGAAACCAATATTTT